CGAATTTCGCATTACGTAACTCGTAGGTTTCCTTAATTAGTAGCAATTAGGGAAATCCAAATTATCAATTGATTCTCATCATCGATTGCGCTTCATCATTCATGAATACTTTCGAAACAATCGAAAATTCTTGATTTCTCACAATTTCACACCACCGAAATTCGACTGGCTATGTTTCCGAAACCAATTTCTCAATCCTATTAAACTCGATCCAAACTTTCCCGTATCATAGCTTGCTTTTCTCGTGCGATTCAAGCGAATAGATTAAGCCTAGTTCTTCCGCCTTAAAGAAATTTTAAGCTGAATTTATGTTCTCTTGACACTTAGTCCACATAAAGTCTGTTAATGGGTGTCGTCAATAAACTGACTGAGAGTTTTTGAGCAATTTATCGATTGTTCTATTGATCAGAAATGAAAGCGTTCAAGAAAAGAAACGAAAGCATGTATGTGATTGTATGGAATATGGGAACTGTGATCAGGGTTCGTTTGTAGTCGCTTTCTGTTCGAAAACATTGAGCGATTCACCTGAATAAGTCCATGAAGGCGGTAAGCAGCTCCAGCAAATTCGTTGGAAATCGCTGGATTGGTATTTGGTTTGTAGTGAGTGTATTTGGGAATGAGTTTATTGTGAGAAGAGCCGAGCAGGGCTGGTAAGAACTCTTGATAGGTGATCACCTGCATGATTGCGCCCACCACCTTTCGAGTCTCTTGAAACAATCGATCCTCGTCCCATTTCTTGTTCATCGTGCGCAATACCGAATCAATCCTTCAATATGGCTCGATTCATTGACATTATACATCATATCTTTCGACATATTACGATAATGAACTATTCATTTCTTCGACATTTACTGTTGGTCAGATAATCACCTAATTAATCGTAACCGTAAATTACAATAGTTTAGACCGATGGAACGTGGAAATAAGTAAATGGATTTCCCACTCTGTTGCAATTTCGAAGTTTTCACTGATGAATGTTTTTGATTATGTTTTTGTTTGTTTTTTTTCGATTGTACTCACTAATAGTCAAACAAAATTTTGAGTATCCTTCCTCAAAATTTCCTCGGTCTACGTATGTGTTTAGTAACAGGCGGGAATTACCATCAGATCTATTGACTGATCAAATGTCCATTGAACAGCACTAAGCCAGCTTAAATACTCTGAAAATCTGCTCAAATCCGCGAGATAATTTCCTCTATTATTGAGCACTAGCGTGTTGCAAGGATCGGAAAATTTCAGCTTTTTTTCTTTATTTTTTTTGCCCGTTCCCGATTTTCTTCGAGCCGTCGTATTTTCGTGGTGCCCGGCTGCAAAATCTTGTCCCTGAATCAGCCGTTCCAGACATTTTTCGTCCCCGCAACACACTGTGAAATACCACTGCTGACAGAATGTGTGCTTAACAAAGATTTTCACGGAAACGTGACTGTAAGCAATGAAGAGAAAAAAACATGGACAAAATTTGCAGTGAAACGAACTTATTGTGCAGACGAACGAACACAGTATGAAGTGCGGCAAGACCGACGAACAGATTCGAGCGGTCATCGCCCGTATTGAACGTGTTACGGCCATCCATTGGCGGAAACATGCGTCCACCAATCGGAATCATACTCAGACCTGACCGTACCCCGGCACGAAACTTTCGTTGAGTGATCGCATCACTACCGTACACCTAAAGCCGTTCTGTTCAGAATCGCACCGTAAACTAGCATGGAATCAGTCCCAAATTAAGTGGCTTTCAAAACGAGACATACTACATTCATCACTTCACAGGGCTCATCGAGCTAATCAAAAATCTTTTCTTTAGACGTTTTATGGTTTGCAATTTATCTCTCACTGTGAATTGGAAGAAAAGTGATAAAAAAGTCATAAATATGCAACAGATCAAGTTGATGTTATGTTGAGATCATAAAAATACTGGAGGTTGTCTGTAAAAGGGAACCTGTGAAGCATCAATAAACGCTGTATTCAAATTCATTTGCTGTCTTGGAACACCATGAATTCCAGTACCACACACTCGTATCGATCTCTTCAGTGGTATACAAGGTGATTTATGTCTCCTGAGAATAACTGAATTCAAATTATTCGATTGGATCGTCCAATGAACGAATTAAAACAATATTTAAGATAACCAATGATTTCTTTCAACTGTATCTTACTGACTCTATTGAAAGGACAATACTTAAAGACGAATGAAGATATAGGCAATAGCCCTTCTGGAATAGTCATCACCCACTCTTCTTACAAAAAAACATCTTCACAGAAGGAAACTATCACATTCTTCGCTCTATAATATGTATCTGTATGCCGTGTCATCTAAATCAACTGAAGCTTTTCTGTAATTCGAATGCTGAACTTGCTCGAACCTGCTATCCATTTCGCTCAGTGATATAGAAATGCATTCACTGCCTCCCTGACACGTACAACGTCCATCGAGTTTATTTTTGCTCATATCGTGACTCAGGAATTGACCGAATTGCATCAACATGCTGCTAGCTCGAGAAGCGATTGATCTCCTGGATGAGAGAAGAGCTCGCGATATGAAACGCGGATTTGGACGTTCTCGACTGATCGAATCTGAAAAAATGATCGATTTTCTGCGTTCTCGACAACACAGTGCTTCTAAACAATTCGAACATTTCTTCTTTCCTGTGCCATCTTCCTTATGAAATTTATTCGCAGTCTGAAAATTTCCTCAGAAACTCCTGGTGAGGAGTGGTTGTTTAGGAAGTGATTGTCCACAGATTAAAATATTCGTTTGTGACAGTCTTTAATTCCAAAGTGATACCATTGATTTGAAGCGATGTTTTGATATTAATCTTCATGTAAACATGTGAATAACTAGTATCTTATTGTTAGTGAATAAACTTATGCATACCTGAAACTGCGTTAATGCGATCATCATAATCTGGAGGTAGCAATCGTATGAACGGCGTAAACGCAGCACCCTGAAATGATCAGTGATCACAGCATGATAAGTTTTCAACTCTGAAACGTCCATAATGCTCATCTACAAAGTAAAATCTAGTAATTCTCAAAACATAGAACAAAATCCAATGATTTTGATAAGGCGTGAGCTAATTTTACATAACTAAGGTGTATTGTGAGTTAATAAAGTAACTAATTCACGGAATGTTTAGTCTTGAGCTCGGACAGCCGTCAAGAGTAACTAATTTTCCCATGTCCTTTCGATATAATTCAAAGAAAGCGCCTGATTGATTTGTTGGAACCAAGGAGGGACAGACTTCTAGTGAGCTCTTAAAATTTTTTTCAGCTTGAGTTGTGTCCAAATTCGATTACAGCAATTCTTATGCAGCTGAGTTGATTTGAATTAAAGTCGTGATTTTTTAGTAGGTAATAAGGATTTGATCGAATAATCAATAAGTGATCACTATTGGTGAGCTACTGATAAGGTAGTAAAGAATTTAGGTAGCTTTGATAGCCGATCTTCGCATAAACTTTGAAAATCTCAAAAATGATCGTATGCAATTTGTTGAATGTGTTTTTGTGCAATTAGCGCATTCACATATTACGATAATAACAAACCAACTGATAGCTATGATCACCTTCAGTGAATCTCTGAGATTGTTGCATGATCCATCGAATGTTCTGTAATTCTTATGATAGCAAATATCAGCGGCACATGGATTCGGTAGATTGCTTTGCACACATCCATCACGCATTATATTGTTTGGCGTTAAACGTCTTGGTACAGCTAAAGATACTTCGAATGCAACATGCTCATATCGCATTCTGTAGCACTTACTTCGTTGCGCTTCATTTGAAATACAGCTTTTTTCATGCTTTCAAGATCAGTACGCGTATTTCAGCTAGTTTGTCAACAGATTCGTGACATATATTCGAGATCCTTATGAATTTGGTTGAGAATTTAGTTGGCCTGAATTTTAGCGAAATGGCGCTGGGGCCTTAGATTTTAAAAAAAAGTTAGTCATCAGATTGGTAGGTCAGCAAACCGGTTTCGGTGTGTTGATTCCGATTTTTTTCTCCATTTTTTTGTGAAATGATCTTCAATAACTATCTGATGATGGATGACTCACTTCAAAAGTCTGACGTAAACCTGCAGCCACTGATTAATATGTTATCATTTTTGCTTGAGATTGTTCTCTAGTGTCCAAAAAGAGGAAAGTTTGTGATCAATCAATTTATAAACGCAATCGAAACAAAAAGCACACTAAAATCTTGTACCCTCAACGGCTCGAGACATTGAACATGTAAAATGAGCGCCCGTAACCACTGATACTCCTTGATCTATAATGGAACAGTTAGTGATTAAAAAGGCAACTTGTCAAGTACAATTGCTTTAACCACCACAAAAATGTGTAGTGGAGGCGCCGACGCTTCGTTTCAGCGTGAATTTTAAAGTAAGACCTGGAATCCAGGATAACTAGATTCAATTTCATAGACTCAGGTCATTCCTGAACCTTCAGCAGCTATCACCAAAATAGTGACTCCTAAACTGATGCCGACAGATTAAGTCGGTCGTATTTGTGAGTCGGATCAAGAGAGCGATTTTAAAAAAGTTAACTTAAGAAGCCGATTTCTAGTGATATTTAGATCTAATGAGCTCCAATATACTATTGTTTTAGATTTCCGATTCAAATTTGTCAAAACAACCGTGGAACTGCAATATCTCAAGTGACCAATAGCAGGTCGCAAGATATTCCAAAGCAACTTTTGCTCGAATATGATCTAAAATGAATTCACCGAATAGAACGTTTGTTTTGCACACGCGACATGATTTAGCGCAGTTTGGTAGCATCCAGTTGGGATTTTTAGAGCACTCATCAACTCTAGCCCAAAATGCGCAAAGGTGGTGATGATCACAGCAATCGTTAATGCACTCTTTGAATGCCGCAATTGTTAAGA